CTCGCTGAGGGGGGAGCTGCGCAGCTGTTGCGGGCAGAGAGCTGCCAGGTGTTTGGCAGTGCGAGGTTATGCTCTGTCAGAAATCTCAGACGTTTGAAACTTGATTTCAGTTTCACAGGAAGTTTCGGGTTTTTTTCTTTTCTGTCTTTGTTTCATTTTAGGATTCTGGAGATGGTGTTTGTGAACCAAGGGAGTGGAGACCAGTGGTTTACAGAAAGTGCACAGACACTCTCTGGTTGCTCCTCTTTCTTCTTTTCTGGGCTGGTTTGGTAAGCATGCTTTTTTATGAGAGAGAAATCAGACGCAGCGTTAATGGGGTTCTGCGCAGTGGTCTACGGAATCTAAACAGAAATTATCAGGGGCACAGGATTGCACTGGGACAGAACTGACCTTCGGGGTGGTGCAGTGCTTTATTGCAGTGTCTGTCATACAGACTTCTGAAGTTCTGACTGTATACTTTAGATGCCATGTATATGCAGGGCTGGGTTGTTTAGAATTTGGTTTTTTTTTGTAAATTAGTCCAAACTCTGACTGAGCTCTTCTTTCTACTTACCTCATTCATTGCAGTCTTGTTATCTTGTAGCATATCTGTCTGATGTTACATCAAGTCACTGTCTGTGCGTTGGTTAGAACAGCATGCAGGCTTTTGGGAACAGGCTTTCTGTTTCTTAAGTATGAATGGTTTTTTTTCCATTATATGTCTGAGGTTACTTAGGATTCTTCTTACCTCATTCATTGCAGTCTTGTTATCTTGTAGCATATCTGTCTGATGTTACATCAAGTCACTGTCTGTGCGTTGGTTAGAACAGCATGCAGGCTTTTGGGAACAGGCTTTCTGTTTCTTAAGTATGAATGTTTTTTTTTCATTATATGTCTGAGGTTACTCAGGATTCTTGTGAATACTCTATTAATCAGTTTTTAATTCAATTCCTAATAACTCTTAGTGGAAGCTAATGCAGAATACATACACATTTTGAACACTGCGTAAGCTGAACTTTGCGAACAGGATAGGCTTTTTTACGTGCTTTCATCAGTGGAGGGAATGCAAAAATTTAAACCTGTCAAGTGGGGAGGATTTAGGATTTTAGTTTGTTTTCTCTCACAGTTTTTATTGCTCAATTTCTGTGAAATAGCTTATCGCATACATGTATTTGTTTTCTTTTGGTTTTTTTTAGATTAAAAAATGTTTGATGACAGTGATTTGTTCACATAGTGAAAAAAAAATGAAGCCACATTAGTAACTCTGTGGAAATGCATATCACTGGCATGTATAGACACACCCCTCCAGCAGTCATACAGACAACTATTACTTAACAATATTCATGGCTTGTATCCAGCATTTTGCACTTTAAAAAGTCCACATGTACACAGTATTTGCCATACTGATGGCAGTGGACCTGTAACATCCATCTTTAGAAGGAACGCCATAATTTTTCTGAAAGCATGTTTCAGGTTGAGTTACAATGCCAGCTCATTTCTGCTTTTTATTCTGAGAACAATTTAACAATTAACAAATATTTGCAGTGTAAATAAACTGGATCTGAAAATGTTTTGTAATTCTAACAAATATCGCATACACGATGAGTATGTCAGCTTTAATTGTGGAGTCTCTACAAAGATCTCCGTATTGAGATGGCATTAACATGCAGTCTTAATTTAAAAAAAAATAACTAATTAGACTGCAAACTCAGAAGCAAAAATGAGACTATATTGGGGATTAAGGAAACATGTACTTAGATGTTTATGAATGAGACTCAGTTTTTGCCCAGAGCCTATCTTTATCCACAAGTGTTAAAAGTAGAGTAACAAATAAAGGTCTAAACCCTTTAGAAGGCAGTTGTGCTGGATCTGATACGTGCAGTCCGTCTCCAGCATAGCTGATACTCAGCAAAGTAGTTGTGGTTAATGTGGGACTGACAAGACTCGCTGCTGCCAGCAGGTGGCATGTAGCCATAGAGCTTAGTGTATTGTCTGCGGTGTATGTGAAGTGTGCTTTGCACCCTGTGGGACAGAGGAGATGATTGAATCACTGAGTTCTTCAATAGCTGGAGTGAGGTAAATAAGCCTTTGGGTAAAGTCATGCCCGGGACTTCACTGACTTCCCAGAAGCAGAATTGCTGCTTCTTGGCACTTGGAAATGTTCTTTTTCAGGGACGTTTCAGCCCTCGTGGGGTACATGAGCTGGGTTTAAGCTGTATTCCCGGGCAGTGTCTTATATTGACTAACGATTGCTGCTGCTTGGCCAACAGAGGTGCTCAGCTGCCCCTGGGATTTACAGGGAGCTGATCTGATGGGGCTTTGATACGACAGTAGGGCATCTAAAAGATCGGTGCAGTGTCACCTATGTCCACCCTGGGGCTCTCTCCAGGTTTTTCATGTGTTAAAGAATGCATCTCCCTGAAATTTCAAGTAACCCGCATTTTAATTATACTTTATGTGTTTAAAATATACCTCTGATTACATTCACTAGCAGGTGCAAGGGCTCAACATTTCAGCAGAGGTATTGTCCAGGTGTGTCTTGAAGGGCACCCTGAAAAAACAGAGGCAGTAAGCACAGGTGAAAAATTACCATTTGCGTGACCTTGCCTAGTGACACACACTAACTTCCTTCGGTAGAGGCAGTGTTTACCACCTTACTGCTGCTTTCCTGTTATTCCACTCAGGACCCCTATCATTCTTCTCCTGTGATACTCTGCTTAATTTATATACTTTCAGCAATAGATGAGGGAAAGCTCTAAGGAGATAACAGGGCTAAACTTGTCCACATGACTTGCTCTGGGGGTGAATTTTAGATTTAACTGTTTGCATTGGCAAGATAGGAATGCATGGGTTAAAAGGAGTATTTATTGAATGGGAAGGAAAAGCTACTGTAGCGTGATTTCACATGAAAAAATATTTTAACAGATGTTTATAAGTGGCTATGCTGTGATGGCTGGTGCCGCAGAAAGACTCGTGCTTGGATATGACAGCTTTGGGAACATATGTGGTAGGAAGAACACTCCTGTAAAAGGGGCACCACTTTCTGGACAGGACATGACTAATAAAAAGTAAGTACGTTAAATAATGTCTAAATAAATCAAGTGTTTGAGAACTTAATAAGATACACATCTTCTAGTCATCAGTAATATACATACGTGTCTATATACATGCTTATACCGAAAGGCAGTAAAAAGGTGTGAGAATGGTGTAAAATGGTGAGTGAAACTAAAAAGCTAAGATAGAATTTGAAAGTGTGCTACACTGTTATGCTTTATGGTGGCTTCTTCTTAAATAGGATCTTAAATAGGACTTCAGCCAAACCAACAGTCATTCTGTATGGCAAATCTCTTGTTGCATGTTGAAGTTCCCTGTCGTTCTGTCAACTCCCGTGAACTAGTCCTTGTAGAATGGCATCCACCTTGGCAGCTTCTGATCCCGTTTAAGAACATAAAATGAAGTGTAAAAATGTAGCACGTTATCAAATTGCTTCTTAGCTTCTGACTTCAAACTCCTTTTTTTTTTTTTCATTATATGTGTAAAAAGTTCCATTTGCTTTGTAGCACTTTAAAAAGATGGAAAGGAGGCTCAGAATTTAAACCTATAAAACCCAAAAATCTTGTTTTTTGAAAAGAGAATCTTTTTTTCTTTCTAGGTATGTGTTCTTTCTGAATTCATGCAGCCTGGAAATGCAAAGCCTCAAAATCAGTTCAGTTTCCTTGTGCGTGTCTAGTTGTCCACAAGAGCAACTCAACTCTTTGGAAGACCTCCAGAGTTTTGCAAGGAATAATGGTGTGCAACAGGGAATATGAATATCTTAGTGTATCTGTAGAATGGTTGAGCAGTTTCACTTTGTTATTCATATGCTTGCTACGCTAGGGAGTCATTTCTTACCATTAATTTCCTGAGCAGTCCATGGCAACAGAAAATAAAATGTCTTGTTTCTGCTTTATTTCAAAACCATAGCTTCTAGAAATGTTACAGCTCTCTCATGCAAATTCAAAAGTTGTTGATTAATTCCTGCACAATGCTGAGATTATCCAGCAGAAGACTGGCTGCTGAGAATGAACTAGTGTAGTTTGGTGGGGTTGCCAGTAGGTGAACAGAGCTCATACACGATTTGAGAAACTTGTCCAACTGCTTCTTTTAAATTTAATTAAAACTATGGTGGTATTATTAATTCCAGAGATACACAAGTGTTTTTGTCCCTTTAGACATCAGATCCCAAAGTTTGCTGTGCCACCTATAATTTTTTTTTATTTTATTCTGGTGTTCGAGATGGATATGATGTCAGAAGTAGCTATTGTGCAAAAGAGGCAGCTCCAGTTTGTTCATGTCCAGCATGTAAATAAAATAACCTGTAGCCTAACCCTTATTCCATAGGGTATGTGTAAACTGCAGACCGTATGAATATTAATGGCTATTTTTACTGAAGGTCAGAATTCAATTCTTTTTTGTTTTGTTGTTTTGTTTGGCAAGGGTTGATATTTAAATTGACAACATTTGTTTTAATTTCATTTGGGGGTATTTTGCCATCATTTGGTGTGTACAGAAAGCTGTAAACACCTGTGATATAAGTATTTTCAGTGTAACGGAATATAATTGCATGAAATTCCATCTCCATGCTAAAACTGCTTGCATGTTTATCTCGAGGGAGAGGGCAGTATTGCATTTTAAATGGCTTGAATGTATCCAGCCTTTCTTTCCCAGAAGCATTATATAATGCAGAGTACCTGGTAGTATGTAGCCTATAGCCCAGAAAATGGGATGTTTCTGAGTAGCTGTATATTCTGTTCTAAATCATGAGGGGCCTGGTTCTAGTGTAGCTTCTGTCATTTCAGGATTTTCTGTTATCTTGTCTTAATAAGAATTGAGAGCTGACCTATCGCACTGTGGAATAAATAGTGTTCCTGCCCTTCAGGAAGATCGGTAAATGGTAATTATCGTGAAGTCTGGAAGGCAAAAGATTCCACAGAGGTTGCTTTAGATTTACCCGTTTAACTAAGTTGATATTTACATTCTGACTGGAATATCAGGGGCGAATATGGCCTGCTAAGGGGCCAAAGCAGAAGTGTAAACAAAACTTAATTGATAGTGTTTTTCTCTAAAACTTTAACTAATATTAAGTTACATTTTGTTTTTCCTTCTCAGGTTCTTGTCTTTGCATTTACAGCCTGAACGTTTCCAGTTACACACTAAATCCAAAGGCAGCTGAGCTGTGTCCCGCACTGCCAGTTCCACCAAGGTAACTTTACAACACCCTTGAGTCCAAACAGCTTCTTAAGGATTGTTACTTCCTCACGTTTTGTATCTGACTTGGTGCTTTGCAGTCAGAATGGTTTGAATGGTTTTGCTCTGTTTATTTATTTTTGTACATGTATCCTGATGAGTTCTTATGCGTGCCTGTGAACACAGCAGTGGCCTGTCCCACAGAATGAACAAGGACTGCATTCCCTCTGTTCCTCAACTCTAGAGATTTTTCCTGTCCAAATCAGGCAAAAAGCTCTCCATATGAGGAGCGACTTAGCTCCTGCATGGACTTTTGCTCTCTCCCTCAATGCCAAGGAAGAGAAGCTGTAGTCGTGGGCCTTGCTTGCTATCCTGAACCCAGAAATTTCCCTCAGAATTATTTCATAGCCGATTGGCTTGAAGCCCAGGTCTGTGGATGGCACTGTCTTTAACATTTGGCATTTGTGAGTGAAAATCCTTAAACCCATTATTTTAAATTCCACTGTGTCATGAAAATACAGCAAAGAGTTGGAATCTGCATGTTTGCAGAGCTAAGTCGTATACTCTGAACAAGATAAAATAGAGGAAAACGGCAAACAGAAGAGACAAGGAGACACATAAAAACAGTGTATACAGTGGATCAAAGGAAAGCATGTAAACTGATGAAAAAAATATAGCATGTTTTATGTATTTCTTTGACTTATTAGGCTTTTTTCTGTTTGGCAGGGAACTCTGAAATGTTATTAATCTTGCACAGTAATATTTCATAATAGAAGCAAAGCTGGTCAGAGAAGTTTTTAACTGTTGATGAGCAAACCTTTCCTTTTTAGGTACGAATATGTCTTTGACTGTTGTGGTGCAGCATTGCCGAAGTCGGTCAATAAACATATTCAAGAAGCTTGGCTGCTAGTGCCAAATAATTTCATATGTAAATATTTGGTGGTATTAATTGTACCTTACAAACATTGTTTTGAAGTGGCTTTTAGAATGCCTGAGTATCATAAAAACAATGCAAAGTATTTGTGGTCTAGAATTATCTACATCAATGTAGCTTACAGCTATGTTAGCATGAGTTTACGTTTTACTTAAACACATGGGAGCAAAGCAGGTGAAGCCAGACTGGAATGGCAATAGGACCTGGTAGCTTACAGCTATGTTAGCATGAGTTTAGGTTTTACTTAAACATATGGGAGCAAAGCAGGTGAAGCCAGACGGGAATGGCAATAGGACCTATGTGCTGATGGTGATTGAGATAGTAGTTCATTTTTTCTCTCAGGTTTATCTTGAATGGATGTTCTGGTACAGTGATACAGGCACAATGCTGCTAGGAGTTTATTTTGCTGATGAAACATGAAGCTACTTCTCTGCCCAGTGCCCTGTTGTGTCAGACTCCATGTGCGAGATCTCCTCCTGAGCAGGGAGGATGCCTGCCAGGTTACAGATCGGATTGGCCAGCTGTGGCTGCAAAACTATTGAGGGTGCTGGTTAGAGTACTGCGGAGGGCTTGAGAGAGAATGATGGAATGGATCTCGGTGGATTTGAAACTTTGTCCAATTAATTCATATTTTCTGCCATCTTTGTTTTTAACCTTCTAGTAAATCTTTTCCATTATTTAATCGATGTGTTCCACAAAATCCTGAATGCTATTCCAAATATGCATCTGTCTTAATAAATATGGTTAATGAAGTGGATGTTTTTCACCGAACTCTGAGTGGAATATTGGCAGGAAGAGATACTGTGATAGGACTGAGTGTCCTTGCACTAGGTAAGGTTATAAATAAAAAATGAATAATGATATTCAATTAAAATGTGAGGTTTCAAATGTTTCTGTTAACTTTATATTTTTAATTTAAAAGTGATATTTTTACATTTTCTGGGCAGAGTTGTTTTTAG